CGGGATCCCCGCCCGGCGGGAGCCGCCTGTCCCCGGCCCCGTACGCAGCCGCCGGCCGTTGTGGGTGGCTGAAGTCGGACAGGGGTGACACCTCTGTCCGCGGTGGTAGCGGGAGACTGCCCCGTGAACCCGAGCCCTCCCGTCTTACCTGCGTCCATTGCCGTTGTTTGGTGTCCATTTAAATAGAAAATTATTTCCGTGATTGAATAAAAAAAAATATTTTTCTGGGCCCTGGTGCGTGTGCAGAACAGCACGGCTTGCGCTGGAGCCGAGGCCCGGCCGGCGGCGCCTGTCAGGGCTGCGGGCGTGCAGGGTCTCGGCGGGAGGTCGGGCGAGGAAGCGACTGGCGTGCCTCCTGCCCTGCGCTCTCCTCGGACCGGTGTCCCAGTCCCAGGGGGATCCACGTAGGTTACTCTCTAAAATGGTCAGCAGTGATGAGAAGGCGGGATTACATCCACGGCGGTCATTTAGTTTAGTATGAAGGGGAGATGGCACAGGGCCTGCATGAGATATGAGGCAAAACCTGCAGCAGAGCCGCGGGAGGAGGAGCGGCACCCAGGTCACCCGAATCTTTCTTCAGCAGCATTGCTGCAAACCTGGTGGTTATGGTCGTTCTGTACTTGCTTAATTAGTAAGGGGCGCTGTAAGTGTGGATTTGCATAATATGCACTGGAAATTAATCCGTTATCATCCACCACTGTGCCTTGCACAATGGCTTCTGCCCTGTTCAGTACCTAACAGGGTAATTGAGTGGAGGTTCTTGCTTCTTTTGTTTCAGGCCTAACCTGCTTTGAAGTAGGAATGCACTTATCATCTTTTCAGTGTGATGAATGATTTGTACCCATTAGATGTTGATCAAACTGGAGGAATAGCTTCACCATTAAATGTAGCAGTTGTATAAACAACCAGGCAAAAAAATCATACTTGAATAATGAAAATTCATGTTCATAGGAGGCAGACTACAGTATGGGAGAGGAAAACCTATTCTGCAAGAAAAGCACAAGCAAATTAAATTACTCTTGCAAGAGGTAAAATGATGGAAGCAACGTTTTGCAAAAGAACTGACTAGACCAACTATGAGAATGATTCAGCTGGCAGTTCCCAGCAGGTTTGAATTGTACATAGCTTCTCATTTGTTCAAAAAAACCCCATCTGAATGGTATTTCACTGTAAATGTCTGGGACTTAATCTGTAGTGTGTTGGGTGCTATGGTTTTGAGAAAAAAAATATGGGACAAGTAGATTCTTTCCCATCTGTGTGCACATACCTGAAAACTCCTTGCAGATGGCAAATTAAACATTAAAGACCACTCCACGCCCTCTAGTGCTTAATTTTACTGTCCTTGTCCAGAAATGAAATCTCCTGTTGTGCAAAATAGCTACGCACCAGCTAAGTCCCAGTTACTCTTTCAAACAAAGCTCTCCTTACAAGCAGTTCTGCATTAAGAATCTTAAATAGAAACCTTGTCGTGAGCATTCATGAAAGAGAAATTGAAGTCCTTGAGGTAGAGAGGTCTGAACAGCAGGTGACAAGTAGCAGCTATACTTTGTGGATGTAATAATGGGAAGAAACCATATTAAACCTTTTTAAAATGTTACGTTCCTTCCTCTTATTTCCCTTTTATTTTCCACCAACTTACACCTTCCTATATAGCTTTCAAAACTTAGTTAATACACAGAAAATAAGTGATCTTTTTTATGCTTATTTAACATAATGCATGAGAGGCTGCTTTTTAACAGGAACTTCGTAGAAGATTCTTTAAGACTTAGTATTCAGGAGCCTGATTTTATTCATATAGGATGGAAGAATTAAAAGTGTGCCTCTCTGCTCCCTTCTCATGGAAGAGAAGGGAGGTAAAAATGGTTACATGCCTTCTTTCTACTGTATACGTTTGGACTAGTTGTGGCGGAATGCACACACATTAGTAAGAGCTGTCAGTTACAGCAGGGTTCCAGTGACACTTGTTGGCTTTGATCTGGTGTTTCAGTAGTGCATAGCTCTTTGGCACTGTGCTTGTCCTTTCTGGAACCTTGAGTGCCTCTTAAAATAGAGCCTGTGAAAAAGAGCAGTATAAAGCTGGTAGCACTGTCGCTCCGGCCCATCAGACTTACTGGAGCGGTGAATTTGGAGAGCACAATGGAAAACATCTTCCCAAAGAACTACTGAGATGAGGCTTTTATATCCTGTGATTGAATCCTGCTGCCTTGGCCGTTCATAGTTCCATGGTTTGGCTGGAATATGAGCCTAATTATCAGTCTGTTCCTGAAAATCCCATTGACAGTAAGTGCCTGACAAGATATTCACCATACCTGTGTCCATTTGGTCCTCTCTATCTATTCAGTACTGCTTTCAGAGAGTGAATTTCTTCAGTCGTCCCTTAGTAGTCCTAAAGCAATGAATTTTTAATTGTTTTGGTGGGTGTTTTTTTCTAAGAAACTCTTGCTTTTTCAGCTTTTCCAGTGAAGCTTTCTGTTCTTGCAGGTCCCAAAGGGAACTGCAGTTATTCAGGATCTAATATTGTTCTGTTGGCAAGAGATGGAACTATCTTGCCAGCAATTAGAAGTAAATTGAACAGAGGCACCATGCAAATGTATTGTTAGAAAGCTCATCAGTCAGTAGATGAAATGCTGCACAAATTCTTAAGCAGGCTGTGATTGTTGTTTGTAAAAGCATGGAGGAAGTTGGAAATTTTGTTACAGATACCAAACACTGATTTAAGACAACTTCAGAGTATTCTTAAAGGACAACTTCCTTTTAAAAACAATTCTAGAAAGTTACTAACAGTGTTTTAAATGAGAGTAAAGATATATAAATATATACTGAGCATCTGAGAAGCAAAGTGTTCAGTCTTTAATAGGGATGATCTTGCTGATAAAATATGCATCTGAGTAGTTGCACAGACACAAGCACTTCATGGTGTTAAATTAGAGTTGGATTTGATTGTGGGAGTTTTGCTTGACTAACAGAGAGGTACACCAGGCAGTTCTTCAGAAGGGCTGCAAAAACATTTTTACTTTAATGTGCAGATACGTTAGCCATGGACATCTTGTAAGTACAGAGATTAATGACACTTGACCAGCAGCAGTAAGATATGCTAACAATGTTAGGAGCCTTACAAAAACTGTGAAATTACAGAACATTCACATTTTGGTAAGATCTGAGACTTCCAGGTGTATCAGTTTGAATCACAAGTTCTAATGTTGTGTCAGGTTGGTCTAGCCAGTTACACATATGTTCAGAGCTGCCATACATGGCTGTCTTGAAAATGTCATTCAAGTATTTAATAGGACTTCTCTTCATTAGAGCCAGTGAATAGGGTTGGGGTGGTGGGGACGAAAGGTTGTCTAGTTTTGCCACATCTGTGGCACATCTGTGACACATCTTGAATTTACAGGAAAAAGCTAAACTACCGACCAGCTGGTTGTGACAAAAATACTAGCTTTAAAATAGAAATAGAACTGCCTATTTTAGCTCATTTGTTTCTCCAGATTACTTTAAACATTTGACTACTTTCCGTTTGCTTGTCACTAGAAGTTCATTTGCACAAATACATAACAGAAGCTCAGACAGTCCACCACCACTAATCCTTCCACCCTTCAGAGCAGCTACACCAAATGCAGGGAATGTGGAAGCTGTGGAATACTTTCCCAGTGACAGTCCCATTTTGAGCTGGTTTCAGTAATTATTGCTAGCTCTAAAGGGCATTGCAGAGGTCAGTGATAAATTCTTCACTTCCCAGTTTTCAGAGCTTTCACTGTAACTCAGCTCAGTCTTACAGAAAAGCAGCTGGTAACAGTATTTCTGCATTAATTACATTTTAGAGTACTTAATTGTAGCTAAGGGCAAGCATGTGCCATCAGTCTTTCCCATGCTCGCAGCCTCTCCCTCTTGCCAAAGAGCTCCACTTTTGTCTTGTGAGCCTGCTGTGACTTCAGTCCAGATGTTTCTGTGCCAAGAGATTGAAAAAATAGTAACATTGCAAAATCCAGATTTGGTTAAAAGAAAAGATACAGACTTGGAAACAGCATGTTGAAGGCACCTTAGTTAAAATATTTAGTTCTTCTGTGAGGACTTCAGATTCTGGTAGGATGGAAATGACTGCAGAGAATCAAATGGAGTTTTGTGTGTCAGAGCAAGAATGGGAAGTCTGTGAAAAGAAGCTGCAAAACCTCTGCTGGGCTGCTTGTTGCTGCAGTGCCTGTGAGATGCCTTTCAGTCAGGCAGTAGTATGGAAGGCTGTCAGCCTGCTAAAAATGAACTTGAATGGCTTGCTCTGGACTAAAGATGCAAATAATAATAATCCATGTACATCTTCAGTCTGCTTCTTAGGTAGGCCTAAAAGCAGAGAGATGGGAGGCATATTTCTGAAATAGTTCTAGAAGCACACTTCCAGTATTTACATAGAGTGGTTTTATGCTGCCATCTCAAAGTGGTGTATGTGCACACTGCTGCACAGGTACTCTCACGATTCTTAAATTTTGGTGGTGTGCTTTTGCTACTGTTTTTTTAAACTTACAAACTTTGATTCAAGACCTTTACCTTCAAAGTGCTGCAGCTCTTAACATGCTTTGCTGTTTGGCCACAAGTATTAACTTGACCTGTTGGTGTGAGGAATCTTACTGTTACTAGATTGATTTTTTTATGTTCAGCATTATTTAATCTTTTTTTCTTTGCAAATCTAATGTTCTGATGAGATAGAAGAAGGTGGGGCACTGAGAAATTAATTCAGGGATGTCTATGTGCCTGAAATGAAATCTGGCACTCAAAAATAGAGTAGCAGGGAAATCTTCAATATTGGGAGCACTATAAGTAATTTTTGTTAAATAATAGTTTACATAAGATATTTTTGTAGTAGCACTAGTTGTAAGATATCCAACATTAAATCCATCTTTAATTGGCTGGTGCCAATTGCTTGACACTGTGTGGGATAAATCACTTAGTCTTGCGTATAATAGACTGATGTCCCCACTGCTATAAGAGCTTCTTTATTCTAGTCAGCACGGGGAAGCGTACAAACTGAGCTGCCTGTTGACTGATAGGGCAGGGCTTGTGCCCATGGGTCTGCCTGCTCTATATTTAAGCTGCAAGGAGAGCGCTTCGATTTTCAAGAGCACTTCAAATTAGCAGCAAATTAGTCTACTGCTAAAACTTGTGAAGAAGGAAAGAGGGGTTTTGAAGCGAACTCTTACGCTAGAAGCAGAATAATTATGTATTGTGGGAAATTCTGTAATCCCTATCATCCTACCCAGAAGATAGGGTAGGTAGCTAGGTGGGATTTTACTGCTGAGTTTCCACAGATACTGTAAAGCTGTAATCTGCCAAGTGTGGTCCCCTGGATCAGTTTGCTACTGCACCTCACCACGAGGCCACACAAACACTCGTATGAACACAGCTGGTACCTGGGCAGCTTGGGGCAGATGAGTAAATAGGGACAGTGGTCCAACGCTACCACCCTTTCTGGCTACCCATGCCCTACCTTGATTGCATATCAGTCATGGTCTAATGTCCTAAGTGGAACTTATTGCAAAAGAAGAGGCCCTGCTAACACAGCCATTTTGTGCACCAGGAGCTTGCTGCAGGCACAGTAGAACGAAGTGGCTGTGTTTATGTAGCGATTATGTTGGCCTGCTGCACGGCTGTGCCTGTTAAAAGTATATTGTGGCAAATGCAGTCATTTCTGATCAATAGAATCTGTATGAGCGTTAACAGCAGGACAATTGCTAGGGCTTAAAAACACTGTCACACGTATCTGATATACTTTGCCAGAGTATTGTCCAAAGTTGCCCGCAGTCCAGCATAGCTTCTCCACAGTGGGCTGTAGATCAAGTCCTCTGGAAATGGAGCCTTAGCGGTGCTGCTTGTACTGAAACTCTCCTATGCAGCTTTGTGTGCATTTACGAGGAATTGGGTCTTATATTTGTTAACACATATGCTATTGTATCCATATTAAAATGTACAGAGAACTGTTCTAAGCTTTATAGCTGATCACCTTCATATGTTCAGGCTGGCTTGGTGTGGAACAATACTGACATTCAGTGGTTGATTATACTTGCCACCACTGTGTGACTATCCAGGAGATTTTGGAGGGTTTTAATGTCCAGCACTGGCTAAATTCAGAACATGTTTAGTTGAACTGGATTAAAGCAACTGTGTCAAGGCTCTTTTATAAGAATGCTGTGCTCACAGTATTAAAATTGTCTGTTTTTTCAATAAACTAAATTAGAGATTAATTTGGTCCAGGAGAGATACAGTAGAAACATTTAATAATGTTTTGAAGCTTTGTTTCCTTTCCCACTCTTAAGCAAATTGGCAGTCACAGTTTCCAAAAGAACTTCCTTTTGTATACCATATTGGCTTAGTTGGATTTTTCTGTCTACGTTTTGACTATTGGTCTTTTTGTGTCTACCACCAAAGACAGTGTGCTCTTAGCAGGAGGTATCTAAGACCTGGCAAGGCCCCAGTGAAGATGAGCACATTGCTGTTATGCATGTGAAGGAGCAGCTGGAGTTTAGAATTTGAAAAGCTGGATCTTGGCTACCTTCCCACATATGCTGACTTAGGTGGAGGGAAATAGCATGCTAACTACCTTCTGCAGTAGTCCTTTTTCACCTTCTCTTTCACCTTTGGAAGACATACTTTTGTATTGTCAAGATCTGCAGGGCCAGGCCATTTTTCAGTGTTACAAATGTGATGGAAGGTCAGACTAGTACTCCGGGCAGTTTAGATTCAGACACAGCATCAAGAGCTCACTCTGGATGGAGCTAAGTGCTTATTCCAGTATTTTGGAATGAAGCTTAATAATGCAGTGTTTGGACTTCTTAAATCTCTGTGGGACTGGGCCATTTACATCTAGATGCTTCTGTGCAGTCTTCACATTTGTGTGCCAGAGTTAACATTAGCGAAGAAGCAAATTTTATCTGCATTTTATGGCATGATCCTGGCCAAACATCCCAAGAGTAATGAAAACTATGATAGGTTTTATGGTAGATGTGTCTGGCTTCACTTGGACATGCAGAGCTGATGGTGGTCTTCCTGTTTCAAGGTGTGGATGCCCAGTAACTGTTTGGTCTCTTTCCAGTCATGGATTCCTCCAAAGGCTAAATAAACTTCAACTGAGGATATCTTCATTGCTATCATCTGCCCATTTCTGCCACCTCCTCTGCACAAGCTGTAGCGCTCTCTGGCAATGTAAAAACTTGCATCAGGAAGCTGATCGGACCAGAAACTCCTTTTTCTGGGTCAATTTATGGCTGGACCAGTTTCCTAATATAGGTGATTGCGGAACCACAGACCTGTTCAAATCAATACCAGGCAAAAGGAATGAATAGCCAGTGGCAGGGGCAGCTTCTTCGACTACAGGATGAATTTTTGCAGGATGTTAAGTACCAAGGTTAACTTCACCTTGATGAGCCAGTGCTTGGGTTACATTTTGTTTGTTTTCTAAGCCTGAGTTTAAACTTGGACCTTATTTTTGTCAGAGGGTGGTAATGCTGCAAGTCAGCCAAAGCATTATATGTGTCTCATGTAAAGGCTAAAGAGATAGACTGAAGTCTAATAGCATTTGTCTCTTCTGTAAATGTGGAGAAAATGGCTTATTCACTTCATTTGAATCAACAACTTAGTTCACTTAGTATCTCATTGAAAGTTAAGAAATAGACTGGGAATTAGTTTTTTAAAAGGCAAATAAGCTTCTTGTCCCATGAATAAAATGAAGGATCAGTGGCTGAGGCATGTTATTTGTAAATCTTTAAAGATATAAGAAAAACCAGTTACTTTCCTTATCTGCAGTTCATACTCCCCTTTTTCATGAGTGAGTTTTTAAGTGTAAAACATTTTATGTAAACGTATTTCATGTGTCAAGCACATTTGAGGCAATTTTATTCATGAAATCAGTTTTAAACTCTTCATTTTGTGTACTTTTAATGAATTACAACACTTTATCCCAGTGCAGATTGGCATAGATCATAAGTAAAAGACTAATCAGCCAGCAAATAAACACTTTTCTAGTTCAGTAGCTGAAAGCTGACAAGCTAAAGAGCTCTATCTTTAAGATAGCGCAATTCTTAATTATGTGTGTAAATATTACACAAATTCCATCATAGGAAAATTTATGTGTAAGTTACCCTTACATGTTGCCAAACATGTTTAAGTGAGTGCCAACTCATGAAAGTCAGCTTTTGTTTAAGAAATAAATTACAAATACCAAATAGGGATGAAAGTGGAACTCAAGGGTGCTAGCTTCTTGCTTACTTTGTGATATATGTTAGCGACTTAATCCACTGTGAAATATTTTGTGGTGGAACATTCCTCTAAATAAAGAAAATGCAATTTAAAGGAAAGCAGCAAAGCAGATCTTTTTTCTTAGATTCACAGTGCATGTTAACAAAGTGACCATTGCAAGAAAGGGAATCTGGGAGAAGAAACAGTGATGTCAATCCTTACATCCTTTTGTTCATTTTAACTTCTTTGAATGTGTTTCCAACAGAAAATGATCCACAGCCTGTTTCTTATAAACTGTTCTGGTGACATATTCTTGGAGAAGCACTGGAAGAGTGTTGTGAGCCAATCTGTGTGTGATTATTTCTTTGAAGCTCAGGAGAAAGCAATCGATGTTGAGAATGTGCCTCCTGTCATCTCAACGCCACATCACTACCTCATCAGCATCTATCGGGATAAAATCTTCTTTGTGTCTGTCATACAGACAGAAGTGCCACCACTCTTTGTAATTGAATTTCTGCACCGAGTAGCAGATACTTTCCAGGTCTGTCACCATTAAATAATTCTAAAATTGAAATAATTCCAAGGGAATTTTTATATAAACTTCTTTTAAAGGAAGGTAATAAACCCTCTTGTCAGTGACTTCCCCCTTTGCAATTTCTAAGTCAAGCACTAGTTTATAGACTACAAAGGAAAAGAAGGTGTATTTTCTGTATTCATTTGATTTATAGTTACCAGTGCACATGCACTAAAACCCAAATCACTTTTTGTAAATGCTGTCTTTTTTCTGTAAGCTTTTGTACCGTTCATGTTATATAGATGAAAAGCAGCATGCAGTCATGAAGCACTCTGTAGGGAGGAAAGAGCTGCGAAGCGTGAGTCAGTTTTCAACCCATTTCACAGATACTGTAAATAAAGGAACCTCTGTGAAGATTGAGCATTGTCAGAAGACAGTCTGCTTATTTTATGAGTCTTCTGACTGAAGATGTGTTAATGTTCACAACTGGGAGAACCTTTAGCACATACATACTAGTAAACCAGATTACATCAATTTCACTGTTCACGCTGTCTTTATTTTTAATTAGATGATAAATGTAACCTTAACATATGATGCCATCAGACTACAAAAGTAGCTAGTCAGTTTAGGCACTAGAATTCCTTGATATATTGGGGGGTTTCTGTAAGCAAAAAAACAAACAAACTTTTGCAAAGCAATTTAACAGGAATACAAATCCTCTCCTTTGTAATCCCCGATTTGTTTAGGATTACTTCGGTGAATGTTCTGAGACTGCAGTTAAGGACAATGTGGTTATTGTGTATGAACTTCTAGAAGAAATGCTAGACAATGGTTTTCCACTGGCAACAGAATCTAACATATTGAAGGAGCTGATTAAGCCTCCTACAATTTTGCGCTCCGTTGTCAACTCCATCACAGGTATGAAAATAAATAATTTTCAGTGGTGACTGGCTGCTTAAAAACAAAGGCCCATCATGCTTTGTAGCTAAAAAATAATATCATATTGGTGTGAATCTGTAAGGTGAGGCCACTGTCCTGCCACTTCTCACAATTAGAAGTTGAATAAAAGCAACTTCCTCCTTATTTGCAGTTTATGCCTGGCCCTTTTGATATCCCCAGTAGCACTGTCTGGTCCAGCCACAGCTGCTGAAGTCCCTCAGGAATAGCAGTTCCCAGCACAGACAGCACCTACTGGAGACAGGTGCTCTGGGATTGGTACAGAGCTAGCCCTGAGCTTTGAATAACTAAGTTGCATTGGAGAAGGTTATGCATTTTCTAAGAAATCATTATAGAAAGGTATATAACAGATATCCAATACATCTTTGCTGGCTAGGAGGAGATAACATGAAGGGAAGCAAATAGCCTGTCCTCAGCCTCCTCCCTGCCCCCACCACTATTAGCATCCATCAAGTTCGGAGCTGGTTTCAGGCTGTTGTAAATAGGTATGTCTCACACTGACAGAGCCAAATGTTTGTCAGCTGAGCTGGTGGAATCTGCTTGTCTGGCAAGCGGGTGCAAAGGAGGTACGCAATGAGGTGTCACATGGGGTCAGAGATATGCGAGATGTTTGCCTGTACATTGTGTTAGAGAAGGGTAGTAGGTGGGCCACAGGGCCACACAGAGGTAGTGCTCAGAGGAGCAGGTCTTTGAGGTAGCACATGTGGTTTAATCTTTTGAGTATGAATCTCAGCAGTTTTAACTTCTGGGTTTTGGGTTTGTTTGGGTTTTTTTAATGTGGTTTTGGATGGTAGTAGTTACGAAAAATATCTATGACGTTAATGGACTAGATGCACTGCTGTTAGGGGAATTAAGACTCCTGAAGCGAAGGGTTGCAGCATCAAATCCTCTTGTTTTATCTAAAGCCTTATTAGAATTCCCTAGGAGCCTAAAGCGCCTGCCCAGGGCAGCCTGCATCTTGTCTCTGTCAACAGCTCAGCACTGAGGAAGTGGGAAACAGCAGCCTGAGAGCTCTTCCGCCTGCCTGGTCTGGCAGCCCAGCCTGCGTAGCACTGCTGCACCCTGCAAAGCTGCTGAGGGACGCAAGGCACGGCCACAGCCACTGTTCCCCTTCAGAGATGCAGTGGGAGTGAGAAAATGGTTGCAACTCGTCCCCCGTGTGTTACAGCACTGGGGTGGACTTTAGGGAGGGTTTTTTGTCTGTGAGCTATTTTACTAGCTCAAAAGAATGAAAACTTCTGTTTTCTGCCTTCTAGGAGAGGGCCTACCCAGCAGGTTGTGTAGAAATGCTAACCACTGGCTACCAGCCTCTCAGTGAAGGCAGGACACACTACCACATTTGTTGTGCTAAAGGGCACACTGTCCTGAGACCTACTTCTAGCAGAGGGAGTTGTTTCCACTATACTGGGATTCCAAGATCAGTCACCTAAGCCCCAGATATGATAAGATTTTTTTTTTTTCTTTCCTTTTTAAAGAATCATCAGTTTACTTTGTAACTAGGTAGCTCAGGAAGCCCTTTTCTCACACTGGGTGGTATGAAGAACTAGGAGCTGAGGGTGACAGCAAGGCAGGCAGGGGCAGAGGCATCACGGGTAAGGAGCCCAGAATTTGAGCCAACAGGTCGGTCAGGATCAGATAACAGGGTCATCTACAGTTCAGTGATAGCCAGGAAAATCCATCATGATGAGACAGGTCAAGCCAGAAAGTCAAGTCTATGGGCCAGGGTCTGGATCGATTTGGCATGCGGTCCAGTGTAGACATGGCTGTCATGTTGCTGCAGGGTAGCTCAGATGAGTACCAAGGGTGAGAGCCTCAGCCTAACAACAGCTCCCAAGCAAAGGGGGAGACAGACCTCCTGAAGGCTTCTTCCAGGTCTGTCTTCATTACAGTTCTTACTGGTAAATCAGCCCTGAAGGCAGCCAGCTAAAACTCTGAGGAGAAGAGGGAGATGTCCTTAAGGCCCTCACAAGAAGCTGTAATGCCTTGAATTGTAGTGATGAAATCCTTCACAGGATCTAGCCCCACATCTACTCCCACTCAAACCTCCTGCTGGCTTGAGCCTTGTATTTTGCTGTGCAAAATACAGTCTGAAAACCGTAAGTCTGGACACATACTAAAAGTGCATTCACGTCACCTAATGAATGAAATTTTAGTGGTCCAGGTTCTAGTCTGCAGTTCTTGGGGGCAAATCTTGCTTTGATTCTTAATTTTGGCAGTTGAAACATTCCTCTAGTAATTAATTACTGATCTTGAGTTCCTTTTCATTTTTAAGGCAGTAGTAATGTGGGTGACACACTTCCCACTGGACAGTTGTCCAACATTCCTTGGCGCAGAGCAGGGGTAAAATACACAAACAACGAAGCCTATTTTGATGTCATTGAAGAAATTGATGCGATTATAGACAAATCGGGTAAGATGCCTTGCAAACTCATTTCTGTTTGTTGAATGTGTTTACATTTAGCTACTGATGTTTGTCTAACTGCTTTTTTGCATGTGTTTTATTGACATGAACCTATATCTTAAATAGAAATATACAATTTAAAATGACATGCCCAAATGTATTTCTTCAGTTCGTCTTAAAATAACAATATGCTCTAGACTGCTTCAAGAACATCCACAAGAAATATTCTGTACTTAGATGTTTTCTGTTTGTATATTAATTATCTCTCAAGAGATATAAATGGAAAAATAGTTGAAGTTTTAAATGTGATGAGAAAATTTTCTTCCATTGTTCCTGCCAACAATTTACTGCAGTCCTCATAGGCCCTCAAATGAGCAAGACAAAAGCTTTCATTAGCTTTCTTCTGATAGCAAGACAAAACTTGGTGCAAAATAGCTGGACAGTATTGTTTTCCTTATATATAAACTGGAGCCAGGTACTATGAAGCACAATAATACTCCTTTCTTTTCTGTAAATGAAACATGATATCTTCAAATAAAAAAATCTTTAATCTGAGATTTAACTCTGAGGAGGAATCTGATAGAAAAAACTGATGCAAAAAGAAAACTGCTATGCTGTGGACAGGAGCCTGCTGTTTTGGTCATTGGGGCCATCAGTTACTAAAACTGAAGACTGCATGACACTGTTTTGTGGTGGTATGGGACAGGGAGCAAATCTCTGATTTCATTCGGTGCTGCTGTTGTAGCAGTAGTCAATGTTGGTTTGGTTCCGTACACCAGTTCAACAAACGCTTTGGCCACTGTTGAACTGGATAGTCATAAATAGCTATTGTGCAGCTCTTAGTCTCGGTGTCTTGAAACTAAAAGAAGGTAGCAGTCACGGTCAGAACACCCTGACCACTGTGTTACGCTCCCAGCTCAATAGGATTCCCAAGACTAGTATGAGTGCTTAGTCTGAGGAGTTATAATCAAGACCATATTTGTATTTCTGTATGTATTTCAAGCCCAATCAGTGTCCACTGAGCATTTAAAATTTCCTACTGAAGATCACTGCAGCAGTCATAGCTACTCTTTTTTGCTCTGATCTCTTGGGGACTAGCAATGCAAGAATCTTTCTTCCTAACCTTCACTAGGACTAAAAAGTAGCTAAGGTTGCTCTCCTAGAATAGGGATGTTATCTTGTTTCACAGGAATATAGTTAACTGCTCTCATCTGAAACAGGATCCCTTCTTTTCAGGCAAAGTATTAACCTGCAGTTTCTCCTTCCCCTTGACTAGATCAACAATAGTTTCTACATATCTTCTAAAATAACCTTTGCTTGTAGGGCTAGTTAGTCCAGAGTCCTGCTCATGCCTTTCTGTCTTTATAGGGCATTTAAGGAAATGAGCCATTCCTGGATAAGATTCTTGGTGTTCTTGCTTTGGGGTTTTTCAGCTATAGATTTATTTAACATCAAGATGAAAATGTAATCCCACTGTTAAACAAGCCACGCTAGTGAAAGCCAAGATTATCTGGAGCTTTATAGCACAAACTTACTGTATTTTGATGTTGATTGTTTTGATGTGCTTCACCTTCCCTGTACCACTATACAACTTGCTAGTTTTCTGGAGACAGGGGACAGGGATGAAAGAAAGGAAGATTCAGAGCTTGTATATTCTGAAACTCTTATTTGCTCATTGCTGGCAACCAGTTCAAGCCCATCCAGTACAAGTCCTGTGTAACAGCTGGCACAAGTATAATTAGCTGATTTGGGACAAGCTGTTTGCTCTGGCTCATGTATGTTAGCAAGCTGCCCAGGCCACAGGTAACTGGAATGACCTTTCCTATCTGTGCTTGGAGTGTTCTTGACTGTTGTGCAAATGTCATCTGTGCTCTCTAGCTGCACTTCACAATATTTGTTAGGCCCTTGATAATAATGTTAAGTATCTTTTTTTTTTTCCTTCCACAGGTTCTACTGTCTTTGCAGAAATCCAAGGTGTTATTGATTCATGTATTAAGCTCTCAGGAATGCCAGATCTTTCTCTTTCTTTCATGGTAAATTTGGCACATATTGAGGAATTTTAATTGCTCACGATTTATTTTTCTTAATGATCAGAGTATATAAATTTTAAGAGTGCAATCGCTGCTTCCTGTCTTACACATACAAAAAATAACCTAAGTTTTGCATCGTATTGTAGAAGGTCAGACCAGAAATCCATCTAGCTCAGAACCATGTCTTAAATAACGGCTTAGATAATGATACTTAGAGTCTAAGAAATAGGAATTCTGTAGAGTTCAGTAGCTAGTTCAAACTGCTGATACTTGATGAGATTTCATTTACCACTGTGCCACTACTTACAGAACCCACGGCTGCTGGATGACGTCAGCTTCCATCCATGTATTCGGTTCAAACGCTGGGAGTCTGAGAGAGTCCTTTCATTTATTCCACCTGATGGGAATTTCAGACTGATCTCCTACCGTGTCAGTTCACAGAAGTATGTTTCTGTTTAGACACACTGGTTCTTCAGATACACCATCTACCACTTTCCATCTGAGTAACTGCAGATTTCTCCTTGTTATGGGGGGGAATTTGCATTGTTGCTAAAATGCATGTTCTCAGGTTTTTTCTCATCTGTTGCTCTGTCCCCTCTAAAACAACAAAACAGTTTTCAGTTTGCTGCTGATACTCAGCAATCATTTTTCAGTGGGATAAACCACACACGACAGTAATGTAGGGCTATTCATTCCTCGTAATCATTGTTGCTGCTAGATGCTTTGTGGCTGAGTCTCTGTATACATAGAGGACTCTGATCTTCATAAAAAGAATAAAGCAAAAAAGTCTAACCTGCAGATATTTGCAAACTAAGTCTGATTTGGCTGGTGACTGTTCTGAGAATTGGTTCAGGGATATTACTTAAAAAAAACCCAAACAGATGGAGGGAAAGAGATTAGGACAAATGATTTGGAAGAAAATATTTTTTTTCCTGTGATTCTCTGGTAATAAAATCACTTAAGCAATGATGTTGAAGAGTTAAGTATCACTTTTCATTTCTGAAACAAACTGATTCTAACTTGAATACCTGCCAGAAACATAAGAACTATTTATGAGAAAGAGCGTTATTTTCTCAAGCAGAGAAGTAGCCAGGATGCATTCAGGTACTGTGTTCTCTTTTCAGCTTGGTGGCAATTCCTGTATATGTGAAACACACGATCAGTTTTAAGGAAAGTAGTTCTTCGGGAAGATTTGATGTTACAATTGGACCAAAACAGAATATGGGGAAAACAGTAGAAGGAGTTGTCATGACAGTTCACATGCCAAAGGCCGTACTTAATATGAACCTCACTGCTGCACAAGGCAGCTATACATTTGACCCAGTTACTAAAGTAAGTCTTAAGTTTTTATTTATTTAAATATCTAAGATGACATTAGAACAAGTCATACGTATTGCAGAGCACTGGAGCAGCATTCCACACTTCACAGAAAACTTTCCCTTCAGCATATGTTTATGAATTAAAATCTCTTTAAAATTTGCTTTTACAAACTTAGATACACACCAGTTGTGACATGTGGTATTATCAGTCTCCTTTCGCTTCCCTTCTCTTCCCCTCTTTTCCCCTGCTCCTTCACCCCCCTAACATTTTTCTTCAGCAGATGCAGCAATATTTTGCTGGTGGTTTCAGCTATGGTATATTTTGTAATTTATGTTCTTTAAAACATAATTATCTGGAGAAAATAGGTAGCCAGAAAAACAGGGAGCGGGAGATAATAAAAACACGTCTTCGAAAAGATCTGCCTGAAGACACACAGGAAGGAAAGCAAAGGGTCTGAAAAACAGTATCTTGGGAGTCCTGCTTTCTTGCCTCCAAGTTCAGGTTTGAGACCTAAAATTCCTAAAGCTCCTGAAGCTATTTAGTACCCAGGAACCATATTGCTGAAATGCAGTCTGAGCCAAACCATTCTGCTGGCTCTAACACCCTGCTCTGAGCTTTCTGCTGCCCTTGGAATATCTCAGTCGGCAATTGATTTGAGTTGTAAGTGAAAGGTCTCCAAGTAACATTCTGTTTCAAAAAGAACAGACCTTAATCTTTTAAAAACAAAAACACTAACAAAAACACTTGAAGTCTCCTTTCCTCTCTGCAGAAATAAATTATACTGTGTTTTTTTCAAGAGTTGGGATAACTAGGCGGACTGTAACTGCAAAAGTTTGTAAAAGTAGGGAGAACTGAGGGTTTTCTGCATTTATCAACAATTTTCAGTTTATGATATGAACAAAAAAACCAACTTGTTGGGTGAGTAAAGGGCCAACTTCGTTCCATGTATCTTCTTTAAAGTGTGAGAATCAATGGGAAACAAGTGACCCTTAGAAAGTTACTCTAGCTTAAACATCTTCTTTTGCCAAGTGCCTTGCTCCTGTCTTCCTCATTCTCGTGTTCCTACAACCTTTGTGCTAGTTATTCTCCTTGCTTCCTGGATCTAGCTGTCCCACTCTGACAACAGGAACAATCACTATTACTAAGGGAGCAAGATGTATGAAATACATAGACCAACTAAGGAATGCTGACAGGGCAGAAGAAATGCTGGGAAAGATAGGACACCCTACCTGCAGGAGCCCTAACCATGGCATCTCCCAGGCAGTGGGCTAATTCTCAGGGCTACCAGGCTACTTTCTGTACCCAGCCTGCAAACTAAAAGCTTGATATGAACTTGACCGTATAGGTTGTTTCCTAGAAAGCTACTGCTACTATTCTCTTTTTTCTGACAAGGTGTTAACATGGGATGTTGGCAAAATTACACCTCAAAAGCTACCAAACCTGAAGGGCATAGTGAACCTGCAGTCTGGAGCCCCCAAGCCAGAGGAGAATCCAAGTTTAAACATTCAGTTTAAGATACAACAGCTTGCAATCTCAGGTGAGTGCATAGGTGATATGTGAAATTGGTACTGACGGACTGAGTAGCAGTAGGAAATGAAGTGGGAAACTGTTTATCTTTTAATTGGAGATGCTGCTCTGAAGTCAACTTGGTCCAAACCGGTAAATTCTGATTTACCTAAACTTGACAGTTACCCTTGCTGGAAGACTCCCTTGCTGGGAATTGTAAATCCCCAATTGTTTTGCTTAAGAAAGACTGTGAGAAGTGTACAGAAGAATGGATTTTTCTTTGTTGACTTCTGCATTAAACATGCTAATTTATCCTTTTAGTGAAGAGTGATGGATGATGATTTAGCATGCTGCTCTTGACTTGCCTTAGCCTTGTACCACTAAAGCCCTTTCTAGTGGTCAAAAAACTGAAAAACTCCATTAATTTCAAAGAATGCCCTTCCTATTCTTTCCTCCTGGAGCTGGTTAGTTTTTCATCTTCAAAACAGTCTACAAGTAAAATCAGAATGAAGTTTATAGGGTAAGTGCAAAAGTAAATTTAAGGCAAACAAGGCCTCAGTCTGCAAACACTTAAATCATGTGAGCTGTCCATGGGTAAAATGCTTCTGCAAGCAAGCTTTGCAGGATTAAGACCCTAACAGAGCAAAGACTCACATTTGGGAAGAAGTAGGGTGACTGAAGGCAGTAGATGAGAATCGGTGGTAGTGCATGTAGTACCCTTCTAGGTAGGTACAGCCTATGGTCCTTTTGCTTCCTAGACTATTTTGCTGGGTAAGTAACAGTTCTTGTATAAGAACAGAATCCTGCAGTTTCCTCTTAAACTTGCAACCCACTAGTTTAAATCTAGCAAAACATAGTGGATCCAATGGCTGGATGCCAGAGATAAAAGACCTGTGAGAAAGCAGGGGACAACCTGAAATTGTTAGGTAGTTAACAGCTACTGGCGTTCCTCAATTAATAGCAGAGGGATGGCTGGTCCTTGCAATCAGTTAATAGCAGAGGGATTGTTGGTCCCTGCAATTATGATTTAGAGTGAAAAGAACGCTAAAACTTGTCCTTTGCTTCAGCTACTTTATTGGAAACGAGTGCAGTGTACAGGAGCTGTGGAAGATAAACTCATTTGTTCAGTAGTTCATCCCTTGGAAGGAGGATGTCAGCTCACTGAGTAGAACAGAAAAGAGCTGTTGCCCTGCCAGGGCAGCTATGATGAGGTGACAAGAATGGTCTCTTCTGCTGTTTCAAACCAGATGAACTTGTGAAAGGAAAGAAAATAAGCTTCCTAACCAATCCTAATATGCTTCTAGAAAGCAGGACTTTTAAACACTGACATGATTTCTAGCATTCTGCTTTTAACTTTGTACTTGTGTTTGTCTTTTTCAGGACTGAAAGTGAATCGCCTAGACATGTATGGAGAAAAATACAAGCCTTTTAAAGGTGTCAAATATATTACAAAAGCAGGAAAATTCCAAGTCAGGACATGAGAAGATGCTCTACTTGCAAGAGGAAATTCCCCTTAAAAAAAACTTGACTGCTTAGTGACTTATGTTGCTATTAATTAGGTGCCAATTAATTAATAGACACTGATTAGTTTGGGATCAAAGCATTTGTGCACAGCAGCTCTTAAAATGAAAGCATAGCTTAGTCTTTCTTAATACAACTTTAAAATAAGGTACTTTTTTTCTAATACACCTTCACTCTTTTTTTACTGAATTGTTGCGCTGGTGAATAGTTTGATATAGGTGATCCACAAAATGTCTCAAACACTACACTGCCAGTCAGATACCAAAGCCCAGAGGCCAAGCACATCATGAAGGCCAGCCAGGCCACTGGAAGAGTCTTGTGGTGGCACGTTTTGCTGCTGCAGCCACCTGCTAAGAAAGCTCAGCTATTCTCACAGCCAGCTGCAAACTGGTATTCCACAAAGCATCATGTAATCCCTTCAGAAATGGAAAGCAGCAGTGAAAGGGGCAGGGGTCCCACAGGGGCCTGGGACATAGCAAGTGTCACTCCTGAGAAAGAGCTGATGAAGAAAAAAGTAGTTTCCTTGTTTACAAGAAATCACCTTTCTTAAGAAGCATTTGCCTTAATCAGCTTTCATTTGTGCCATCTGCAGATGAGCTGATAAAAATAACATTCTGCATTAAATCTGGGAAGTGATTGTTGCTTCAGTAATCCACTTTCTTTCCATTCAATCTCATCATTGCCATAATGTTTTTTTAAGAATACAGTTGCAGAGAGTAAGGTCTATTTTTTATGTGAAGCCTTTGCTTAGATTTAAATGTTCCACTTGTTCAAAGTGGATGCCACCAGATTTGTGCCATGTGTACATTGGAGTGTAGCTTTTTAGATAGCACAATAGAAGTGTCAAGTGTATTAAATGGTTGCGTGCTTTAATGTTATGAAATAAAGGGAACTCTACTGCAAATACATACTCTCATGTGAAATGTTCACGCTATCGTAAACTATTCGTGATGCTCTTAGGCAGGAGACATCTGATATACAATGAAATGATGACCATTTGCTACATCTTTACTAACCTTGATCACTGTGCAGCTATTTAAAATTTAGAAAGGGCATTTAGGAGCATGGCAGGTTAGCTCACTTTTTTTTATTTTTAAATGGAGCAAAATTAATGTTTAGATTACAGCATTTCAAAGACACAACAGTGATAATGCAAAGCTGAGTAAACTTTTCCTTATACACTAGCATAAACTTGTTATCTCTGTAACCCAATACGTGTCCCACAGTACCCATCAAGGTTTCAAACCATACATTTGGTCAGTAGATGGTAGGCTGAGAAACCCAAGTTCAGAATTAAGGAAGGGCGAGATACTGGAGAATCTTTCTTTCCCTAACCTGTTTGGCTTGCAAATTGATGAATAGGTGCTACCTTCAGATGAAGAATAGGAACTTAAGTCATTCAGTAGTCAAAATTTCAAATAGTGGGACAAAAAATGATCCAAGTCTGAAAAAAAGAGGGGGAACCCATGGGAACACTGGCAGCAAGCCAGTAAGAAAAGAAATGAGCATATATTCTCTGCTGGTAACTTTGGTAATGTCACTAGGGGAAACTTGGCCACTGACAATCATTTTGAATTTCTGAAATTACAGTAGATTAAGTGTAGATAAAACAGCACTTTTAAGAACCAGGACCTATAAGAAAGCCTTGTGTTTGGGTAGGCACAATACCGGGTATTAAAAGCTACCAACCTTCTAGTCTACCTTTTCCAACTGGAGAAACATCCATCAATTCATTACTCATGCTACAGTTCCGCTCCATGTTTCAGCAAATGGCATCCTTCAGTTACAGTAATTTTACTACAAGTCTTCTCTTCAGATGTAACTGATAACATCCCAAGCTTAAGTCTGTGTAGCTAGAGCTGCTCTCTGCATTAGCAGCCTGGAAATGCTGCCAAGATCTCCTTTCAGAACTGACACCGTTGCTGATACAGAACATAATGTAGTGTCAGAACTGGCTAGTCTTAACACCAGTGCTTCCCTTCAGCATGTTACAGAACAAGCCTTGCCAACCTTCTGTAACTTGGGCACCAGGGAAGCACATACGAAACTTCTGCCTCTGGAAAAGCTTTGATCCATAGTTCAGAGCACACCACCAGAAGTCACTGTCAACAAGAATTACACTTACCTGGTAGGAGACCACCCTGAACATGAAGATGGTTTTCATCAGGGAAACAGTGAGGCTTATACCTTTTGCTGTAGGTGTGCTGGCTCCTGCCACTTCTACAAACACAGAAAACTCAACTGCAGAATCTGCAGGGAGGTGGGGGGCCATGTTCATATTCTCCCACTTAAAAAAAATTGCACCAGCACCTGTACAGTTAGTACAGCTTAAGAAACCAGAGGACGTCATTACTGAGGAGTTAGTACTGCCAGCTTCAGATCTCCGCTTCTCTAGGTGTCCAGCTCTGGGAGTGCTGACAAAGGTGATTGTCTCTTGAGTTTTCATCATCCCTCAGATATGGAGAAAGCTGTGTGAACAGTATGAAATCTGAATTTTTCCTATTATTACTAAATCCCAGATGCCTTCTGGCACTGTGGGACTGTATGTGGTCCTACAGCACCAATAAATGTTGGTTCCACAAAGTCAAAACATTATGTGTGCTGGTAGAAGTTTTTAGCAAGAAAAAGTGTTTATAAAAGGTTCTTACTCTGAAGGAGAGAAGGAAACAGGACAGTGATTCCATGCTAATCACCCTTGCATTCAATTTGTGAAGTAAAATTCAGATTTATGAGGTGTTGGCCAGAGCAGCAGTTTTTCCCTTATTGACAGGATCAGGCAAATCCCATTTCAGAAGTTTTCAGAACCTTGTTCAGTGCTACTAGAACAGATGACCATCAGACCTCTGGAGAAACTCCCATTTTCTCCCACTGGACCACAGCTTCCAGTAAGTTCTTTAAATACTAATTCTATGGGTACAAAAGACAGAAACAACTTGTTTTAACCTCCTCCTGTTTGAGAAACTTCATACTTTTTTTCTGTTCAGAATATGCAGAAACAACTGTTCTGCTTTAGTATTTCAGCTGCTTTAGCTTTTTGCTCTTGTTGTTAGTGTTATCCACTGCTCCATTATCATTAATGCTCACAAGCTGACATTTGTACAAATGCATTTTTATTGTTTTAACAGAACCAGAGAAAGGTTGAAAACGTTAGACTATACAATACATTTTGTTTTATAAACAAAGTTTTATAGTGGTAAAACATTTCTAAGTGACATTCGTGGTCTTTTTCAAATTTTTGCTGCATTTCAGGTCCAAAGACCAGTAGTGTTCAAAAATGCAGTAATTGCATAAGGTGGACAAGTATCTTAGCTTCTACAAAACAGTTCAAGAACTTAGAGCAAACATTCTGGAAGAAGATCGAAGGCAATCATGATTCATAACTTTCCTGCAAACATTCCTCAATAAACAAAAAGTGATCTTTGGCATAAACAATTATGTATTAAAGGCATTAGTAATATTGCATTAATATCAGTCAAGCAACTAAACAGTGATAATAATAATAATAAAAAAAAAGTCACAGAGAAGCCTGAACTGGGGAGGAGGAAATGTGAGGAGCGTTGAAAAGTAATACAGGAAGACTATTTAAAAAATCCCTTAAAAATAACCCCTACCTATTTGGTGTTATTCACTATTAAATAGAAATTACTACATTACAATTATGTTAAAGATCTGGTATAAACTAACCAAATGCAAGACATTCAGGTTAAGGCTCTGGCACCACTTCCTTCCTCTTCCTGTTGCAGGTAATTGCAGGAAGAAAATACTAAGGAAAGATCTTAAGTACCACGTATTCATAATACCCAGACACAAGAAGTGAATTAAAGACGAACACATGCTTTCTCTTGCTAAGGACAGTTTGAGGCAGATGTATTATAATCAGTTTAACTTCCCTTTTTAGATAACAGTGCAATGAAGGGAGGGTGAAGGGGAAAGAGTCCAAGTGTGGAGTAACTGTTGCAGACAGGTAAAGGACAGCTGACTATGTTGTGTGTCTCTTTCTTCCAGGTGTTAAGACTGAGCAGTTTTTCCACAAGGGCACTTCCATTAAAGGTGGTTTGATCATGCAACAATTTTCAGCAAATTAAGAGGGCATCATGAGGTCAGTGCTTATCAGGGCAGAAGTCTGCAAGTGTTCCTTGCAAATGTAGAGACTCATTCTAAAACAATAATTCTCCTTTCTGTCAAATGCCAAAAGAAACTATGGAACAATTAAATTTATATATATATATATTTTTATATATATATGAAGGCATGTTCAATTATGGAAGGATAAAAGCATCACAAGTCCATTTTAGTATGGGTGTGCTGTGGTTTTTATTCTTGTGCTTTTGTTTGGGTTTCTTTAAAGATACAGTAACACTTCATTCAATTCACTATTGCTTGAACTTGAAAAAAGATTTTGAGCCTCCAAACTCAAAACCAGTAAAAATATCCTAGTATGTTTAGCATTAGGAAACACTGTTTGCTGGTAACCATCAGACTACCTAAAAAGGGTTTCATGTCCCTGCAGCGTTTGGGTTTCAAAAAGCTTATGCATTGTTGGAAACAAGGGCAGTGAGGCAAAAGGTCTTTTTTAACTGAACAGCTTTATCTTTTAATTTCCACCTTGAGTGGCTGGAACAATGTTAGATGGAGGGAAAAGGGAAAAAAAAAGAATAATTGCATGTGCTCATTTGATTTTCAAAAGGAAAGAGCCAGCATGTGGCATTTTCTGGTCCTGGACATGCAGCTAGCTTAAGAGAACCAGGATTTTTTCCGCTCAATATATTACTGAATTAAGCAAGAAGCAAAGAGTTCCACGATTTAAGGTCTCCAGCCCTAAGTCTCAAGCTGCAACAGTGTGCCACTAACATTCACTGCAAAGCATTTCGGTACAGTACAAGAGTTCTGGAATGCCTACCTACAGGGTGACAGGAAGGTGACAAAGACAGCTCCAGTTTTTGTTAAAGTACTGTTGCCAGGCAAAAATCAAAAGCAAAAAAAATATTTCAGACATGGAATTTTAATCCTCAGTTTACAACTGTTCTGCTGCTCCTCTCTCCCCACTTTTAATTAAAAACCCCACACCTTCCATCATTTCTGCATGGTTTAAGAACAGCCAGCTAAAACCCCACTGAAAAGTTGAATATTTCTGTATCAATGATTGTCCCTAAAAAACTGCCAAGTAACCAATAGTGTCCTAGACTCTCAACACAAGCTTAAGTGACATGGAAACTACTGGAATATACAGTGCATAAATGAAATGTGCTTCTGGGAGTACAGAATTCATGAAAAGAAGCTTCAAAAGCAAAACAAATAAAGGATAAGAACTGTCTATTGTCGGAAGCAATTTTGAGGTGTTCGGCATCAAATGCATTCCAAAGACATTTCAAATGCAATCTCTTTTAATTCATACCCTTAGAATGGGGCATTAATTAGCATAAGGTAATCTTAAGCTCACGTATACAGCACATTTTGCTGTTAATATATCTCTTCTGTTTCCAAAAAAAGGCATTTTATGTTACAGAAAACAATACTTATGTGGCAAGTGTTTACTGATACCATGGGGTCTTTCTGACCCAGCGAAGAGTGAATCCAGCATCTGTTCTTATCTTAATGGATGCTGCTTCAGCTTCTCTCACAGTTTCCTTCACAGACTGCATGAGATTCTGGGCATTATGAACCAACATCTCAGTTGCCTGTCAAGAAAAGAAAAATTTCCAATGTATTAGTAAATACCATGTTCAGGACATTAGCACGGAAACCCGTTATGCACGAGGACTCCCAGGACAAGCATCTTAAGTCAGTTTATTGCTGACTTAAACTATGACAGAGTAAATGATACAACTAACCTCTGGAAACCAGCAAGTGTTATCCGGACTCAAAACAAGACTTCCTATTTCTCACTGTATATTTGTGCAAAAT